CATCAGTGAAAGAGTGAAAGTTTAGCCCCAAAGACTATTAAGTCCAGAGCCCTGAGAGTTAACCATGCTTCTGCTCTGGCATTTGAATATTAACCTCAAAAATATTTAGTCAGGGCCTCCCTGGTGGCCTAGGGGTTAAGTCTCAGTGCTGTCATCACCACGGCCTGAGTTCTATCCCTGGCCAGGAAGCTGTCCCACATATGGCACAGCAGACCTCTCCTGTCTTGCCTGCTGCTCCCCTCAGCAGCGTATTTCAGTAGATCTGCCTGTTCAGCTCCCCACTCTGTCTCTCCCTGCACTTCTGGCCTACACCCCATCTCTTCTATGCAAAAAATAAAATAAATTTAAAAAAAATAAATTAAATTTAAAAATATATATATTTAGTCAAAGTCCCTGATTCTTTTCCTACATAGTTCAGACTACAGCTACTGACTTGATGTATGAAGTGTTTTTTCCTGGGATACTATTTGGGATTACTCTGAACACAGTCTTTGAGACCAAATTTTACATTTCTGTACCTTTGTGCTGGGTGGCTTCTGAAAGGCGCCTTCCCTAAGAGCCCCTGCATAGCTGCACTCCTTTTTGGAATTCTTGGGGACTTCTAGATTGCCTTTGCAGTGCCTGCTCCCTTGCTTTGTCACCGTGTTTGTGGGGGCAGCTTTTTTCTTGGATCTTAAGCTTCCTGAGACACTGTGCCTGACATGGCCAGGCCGACCCAGCCACCTTGCCCTTGACGAGCTCTTAGACCCCTGTGAGTCTCAGATGTGTTTGTTTTGTGCACTTAAAAGGATTAAATGAGTTTTTGGTCAAAGTCACTTTTACATAATTCCTTGCTTTGAGAAACCACTCAATAAATTATAGCAAATGATAAGAGCAGCCCGCAGTTTTAAGGGTGCCCAGAGTATGCTGGACATGGTCATTTGGCCTGACGTGTGTGAATTCACTTACTCCTTATGACAGCCTCTGGGAAAGAACTATCATCCCATTTTAGAGACACTGATGAGCAGCTATCTCCTTTACTTCCCTCTGCCACTCTCCCTAGGGTCCCAAGCCCTCCCACTTCCAGGTCCTATAGGTGGGCAGCTATCAGGCTTAATGAAATGTTCATTCATTCTCAGGCACCTCTCTGAGGGCAAACTCAGAGAGATGGAAGTGCTCCCTGACACCGGATTCCTATGCCCTCTAGATGTATAAAGACATCGCTCTAGGCACAGGGAGCCTGAGAGCTTGGGCTCCTGAGGCAGAAGGACAAAAGCAGAAGGGCTGTTATTGGGGCCCTAGGAACATGAGGAGCAGGCGGGACTCGGGCTGATGGAGATGGCAAGGGCTTTCCAGACAAGGTGGCCTTTGGAGGAGCCTAGCAAGATGAGTGGCATTTCAGGGTGGGGTGAAGCCTCCCAGGTTGAGAGGTGCGGAGGTGGGAAAGTCACACACACACACACACACACACACACACACTCACACACACATGTGTTAGGAAGCCAAGTAGTTTCTGGCACTGGTGCCTCTGGAGGAGCAACAGTGTTCTTGGGGCACTTTTGGCTGGATAGGACTATGGTATGATCTCGAGCCACGGTGGATTAGGGGTGTCCAGAGCCAGGCAGGATTACCAAGAGTGAATTCACAAGTCCCAGGTTTCTGACCTCCCTCTGAACTGTGGCCATGTGTGCCAAAAGGAGAGAAGTAATTCCCAATGGGTGGCCTGGAATGCTAGGGGCCTCTGACTGGACTTGGTATATCTGCTGGATAAACAATACAGGAGCCAGATGAGGGTAGGGCCTCAGGACACCCCCTAGACCTACTCTTCATGACCCTAGGGCCCTCCCACCCCTGGTAAGGCACAGGAACCTGACTCATCTATGATCTTTGAGTGTAGGAGCTGGGTGCCCTCCCCCATCCCACCCCATGTCTGAGTCCAGGCAGAGGCGTCTGCAGGCCGACTGCCGCCGTGGGCCTGTGGGGGCGAATGCCTTTGCTGTGACAGCAGGAGCTGTCTCCCCAGGAGATGAGTCACAGCCTTGTCGGTGCGGCTGCCACTTCTGCTTCTGCAGCAGGTGCAAGTGGGGGCGAGTGAGCCTCGAGACCGCCTCTACTTACGTGCGCCTGTCTCCCCCGAGCCGGTGCTCATGCCAGCGGGGCCCCTGTATGTGTACACATATGTATCCCCCCATAAGTGTGTGTGCACCTGGGTGTGTGCCTAGGCCTTGAGGTGAACCTTCCAGCAACACAGAGGGATGCCCATTTTGGGAGCCTTAGTTAAGTTTGCTTCTCACCTAGTTTGGGGTGGAGGGGTCGAAACAGGAAGGAGCCCATTTCCGCTCATGAGGCCCACCCACGGAGCTGCAGGGCAGTCAGGAGCTTCTTTGTGGGCCTGTGCGGTATCCCTGTAAGCTGAAACCTCTCTGCCTGAGGTGGGACCCTGATGGAGTCTGGGGGTTCCCAGAAGGCTTGACTTCCCAAGGCTTCCAGGCACGTTCTAAAAGAACACACAAGCCTAATTCAGAACCTGACATCAGCCTGTAAGGGTGATGAGAGCTGTGGGGCCCAAGTTCTGGGAAGAGAAGACAGACTCAGTGCTTTGTTAATTGTAGGAGGTCTTGGGTTCAATCCAGTCACACCTAGGACCAGGGGTCTGCAGAAGATCCAGGGGTCTCTGTTGTTTAAAACCGAGCCTACTGGGCCTCCTTGTGAGACTGGCAGTGTCCCAGGTCCCCAGTGACCACCCCGCCTTGGGAGAGAAGGGGCTTTTCCAGCACAGCTGCACTGAGAAGCAGGCTCACCCCTTCCTCCCCTGTGTTTCTCTGCCCTACCCGTACTCACTGGACTCCCAGGTCCCTAGCCAGTTGCCCCAGGTGCAGAGTGTGAGCTGTGTCACCTTTGGCCTGTGCATCTGGGCCTCAACCCTTCTGCTGACCCATGGCATGTCTGGCCTGCAGAGGGAGGGGCAGGCAGTAGGGCTGGGTTCCCTGAGGACAGTGCCCCTCCCCCCAACTCTCAGCCTGCTATTTTTCCCCCAGAAGCCATGAGTAATGCTACTCTGTGTCACTTTCCATTTGAGAAAGCCTTTTTGTCTGTATTCTCTTTGAGCCCCATCAGACTTACACTACTGAAGCATGTCTTATTCGAGCTTCAGTGACTGAGACCCACAGTAAATACACGATCTCTACACCCTGTAGAGATGTAGACCCGGGGTGTGCATATACTTATACTTGAAATCAAGATGTAAGTTCAAGGAATGACACTCATCCTTATTAGGGCACCCACTTGATTACTCTGTGTTTTGTTCCCTTGTTTTCCCCTCGTGCTGTTTTGATATCTTGCCCTGCTTTTGTTTCATGACCAGCAATTTGGATGTAGGGGCTGCTGTTCTTATGCCATTTTACAGATGAGAAGACAGAGTATAGACAGGCTCAGAAACTGACACCTGGACTTTGAGCTGGTGCTGGGGGGTGGAACCAGAACTTGTGTCCAGGGTATAAACGAAAGCCAGGAGAAGAGGGAAAGCGGTTGCTCTTTTATACCAGGAGGTCTGGACAGACCCTTCCGGTGAGGTGGCAGGAAGGAATTCAGAGGCTGGAGAGGCAGGGGAAGAGCCAGCATGAACAGACGGTGACATGGTCTTGCTGCCCAGTCTGGTCACTATCACTGCTGAGGGCTCTGCCAGGCAAGGAGCTGACACAAGGCTCAGCTCCAAACCCCCTCTGCCTGCCCATCAAACAGGACTCCACCTTCCTCCTGGAAGACCTGACCTGGGCTGGCTCCAGTTTCCTCAACCTCTGGAGTGTGAGAGCTTTTGCCTCCTGCTGGTTTTCTGTGGCAAGGGCACAAGGCAGACAGAGGCTTGAGTTGCTTTTCTAGCCCTTTCTCCAGAGTCTCCAGTGCCTCCCCCCAGTGCCCAGCTGTGCTGCTTGGCAGACCTCACTCCCATTGGGATAGGCACAGCTGTGGGCGCCCTGCTGTTCTGCTTTTTCTGGGACCGTGTCTGGGATTTTCTCTCAGGGAGAGGTGCTAGAGTCCATGCAGGGCTGGCTCGGGCAGAGGGGGGAGCCCTCTTCTCCACTATGTGCCCCTGCATTCTCCCCAGGGTTCACTGTACTTTACACCATCTGCACCCCAGCAACTGATAGAAACTGCTGTTTAGTGCAGGGTGGGTGATAGACCTAATGTTCAGTTCTTCTGATGTTTGGGGGCTCCTTGGGAGATGTCACCAAACATCTGGCACTGCTGGACCTAATGAGGAGACTGGGGAGACATGGGGGTGATGGCGGGACTCCGGAAGAGGTGGGAGCCAAATGGGACACTGGCCAGGGTGGGATTAGGCAACTGGGTAAATCATTCTGAAGTGAGTTTGGACTTTGCCCAGTAAACACAGGAAGCCACTAAAGGTCTTTCATTGTGCCGGGCGTTCTGGGTGTTTGAGGGGGATATGCGGAAGCAGTTGGGTTGGAGTAGAGGAGGAAACGCCACAGGTAGGCTGTGGCTGCTCTGTGAGGTCGAAGAGAAAGGATGGCATAAGGTAGTCCCCCTTCCAAAGGCCAGATCAGCTGAGCTGGGTGGCCAACTGACTGAAAGGGGTCAGAAGGAAGGATGAAGAGTCAAGACTCCAACTTGATCCCCCAGTCTTTTCAGAGAAGAGACTGGGAAGTTCTGGCAGGAAGCTGGTGTAGCGGAGGCTCTTGGAGTCTGAGTGTGGTTGAGGGAGGAGTCTTCCTCTGTGGCATGGCCTGCAGACTTACGGCTGAGGGAAGACAGATAGACATAGGGTGGTGGTTTCACAGCGATGGGTGAAGAGGTGGTCCCTTTGGTATGGCATGTCCCTGTGAGGTGAGGCCCACCTCTTCCACATCAGCCATTGTGCCAGGCCCGGGAGATCCCCAGCTGACTAAGACGGGGTCCTCCTGTTTGGCTGGGAGCTGCAGAGCCTGGTAAGGAGTGGGGGCACAGCTCCTTGTGCCCCATGCTGCCAGGCACTGAGGAGCCCCCTCTGTCTCCCTCTGCAGTGATGGGTCCTTCCCCTACGATTCTGTCCCTTGGCAGCAGAGCGCCAACCAGCCTCCCGGCTCCCTCTCCGTGGTCACCACAGTTTGGGGAGTGACCAACACGTCCCAGAGCCAGGTAAGAACCTGTCCCACCTCCCACCACTGTCAAACCCTGGGGTCACCATAGCACCAGCCCAACACACCTCACTGGACAGGCTCTGCCCAGTTGGACAGACCAGTTTTCACACTTAGCTATGGACACGTCTCCACTCAGGAGGGCAGCAGCTGACCCCTGTGGACTGACCCCATACAGCGCCTTCCAGGGAGAATGGCTTTCTCTCACTGATAGCAAGGGACTCTTCCCCAGGTGACTTTGACTTAGCTTAGATAAACAGGAACAATTCCTGTTACTGGCCTCAGGACTCCAACCTCTGGAGTTTGGGACCCTGGATGGCCTGCTACAATTTCAATGAAAAGCTCATTTCAATGAAATGCGCATTTAAACCTCTACCCACTTTTCTAGTCAACCCACTCATTGTTTCCTATTTCCTCCACTCCCTCCCCTCCCATCTCTCGGCCTCTGCTGTGGCCACATGTAAGGGTCAGGCCACGGGGGCCTCCCCATCGGGATCCTGCTGCCCTCCAGAGCTGGCACGTGGCCCACATGGCCTGATCCTCTGTGCATCCAGGCTCCTTTACAGGGGGTGTGGCTGAGAAGTCCAGTGCTGTCCCCACCTGCCATCTGGTGCAGGACCGAGCCTTCCCTGACAGGGTCTCAACTCCTTTTCCTGGAGCTATCCAGGCTCCAGGCACTACTGCACTGGCTTTATCCTGACCGCCCCCTCACCTCATTCCATCACAGGCCGAGGTTCTCAGCACCTGCACTGCCTGCTTCCAGGCCTGGTATCCCCTTGTGATCATTTGCACACTCTGGGAACAATATTGCCTCCCCCTTCCCCTGTTTTCTCCTTTTCCTCTGTTATCATCCCCCCTTGTTTCACTCTTCAACCCTTCCACCCCCATTTTTCCCTTTTCCCCTCCACACTGCCTGGGGTACCAGCTTGGGGCAACCACTCTCTCTGCCCACAGGTCCTCGGGAACCCTATGGCCAATGCCAACAACCCCATGAATCCAGGCGGCAACCCCATGGCATCGGGCATGACCACCAGCAACCCCGGCCTCAACTCCCCCCAGTTTGCTGGGCAGCAGCAGCAGTTCTCGGCCAAGGCCGGCCCTGCTCAGCCCTACATCCAGCAGAGCATGTATGGCCGGCCCAACTACCCCGGCAGCGGGGGCTTCGGGGCCAGGTGAGAGGGCTGGCCCGGGCAGAGGCCTTCAGAAGCAGCATGTCAGTCCTGCTCTTCCCCTCCATCCAGGCAGAAGAGTCCAGTTTAAATCCCAGCACCCTGCTTCTGGGCCTGCGATGTGTGGGAGAGCCTGGCACTTCTCTTATCCTCAGCTTTCCCATTAGCCAAAGGGCACGGTCGTCCCCCATGCTCAGGTGGCTGCAGGGGCTGGGTATTGCTGTGAGAGCATCAGCCCCACAGGGTAGGAGGACCATGTTCTCAGCCAGTCTCAAAAAGACCCTTCTCTGCCTTATGTCTGTGTAAGTTGAAAGACTTGGAGAGAGCTGGGTCAGGAGTTGAAGCTCCCTGCTGGCTGTGGAGACTGAGCTGTGCAGAGGCTGGGAATCTCTCCATTCGGCAGCAAGGGGCAAGGAACCCCAAGAGGGCAGTTGGGATCATGGGTGGGGCAAAGGCTCCCCATTGCTCCTCTTGCCACCCCACTCTGTCCCAGACCATCATGACCTCATCCCTTCCTCTCCCTCCCAACCCAAGACTTGGGGGTTCATCTTTAGGTTCAGGCAGTATCTAACTCTTCCATTCTTCTCCCTCACAGTTACCCTGGGGGTCCTAATGCCCCTGCAGGCATGGGCATCCCTCCGCACACCCGGCCGCCTGCTGACTTCACTCAGCCGGCGGCCGCTGCCGCAGCAGCTGCAGTAGCAGCAGCAGCAGCCACGGCCACGGCCACAGCCACAGCCACTGTGGCAGCCTTGCAGGAGACGCAGAACAAGGATATAAACCAGTATGGACCGGTAAGGGCCCTGCTAGTCCTGGTCCAGGCTCACCAGCCAGCCAAGCAGACAGCCCCCAGGGAATCAGAGTTGGGGTGTTGGTGCCTATGGGGGAGCTGATGGTGTCAGGGCGTATCTCAGTTTTCTTGGAAGGATGCGTGTTAGGATATGCTTGTGTCAGCATGCTTGGGGGTTGCCAGTGCATTTGGTGCCCCTTGTATGTCATGTATGTCTGCATATAGGAGGAAAGGATCCTGAATAGGCCCAGTATCTAAAAATAGTGTTGTCACTCTTCTGTCCCCTGGGTGGCCTCTGAAGTTCAGTGCTTTCCTAGTTATCCCATCTGTGGATTCTGCCAGGTCCCAGCTCTGTTCCCCTGACTTTCAGGATGGGTGGGGTGTGAGGTGATGGGTAGCCCCTGTCGGAGTTCAGGACAGGTGTGGAAGTGGGCAGAGTAGAGATGAGAACTGGGGCCCCATCAGACATTGTGATTGGAGGGTATGTCTACATTGACCAGGACCAAGGGCGAGGCCAGGGCTTCCAGGAAAGGGGCTTCTGCCTCCATCCTCATCTGCCTCCATCCTCCCATGTCCCTCCCTACCCCTGCACCCTCTTCCCCATTCCCTGCCTGCCTCCCTGGAAATGCTGCCTGTGCATTGGAGTGACCACGTCCCACCCCTTAACACCCTTGGGCTGCACCTTTCCTGTGTGGCCTGCAGAGGGCAGCAGCGAGCCCCTGAGGTCAGTGGGCCCTTGGGGGCCTGGTCACCAGCAGCAGCCACACAGGAAAGTGCACCCCCCCCACCCACTCCAAGCCCCACACCTGCCCCACCCTTCTCTCCCTGCACTTTCAATGCATGTGGCATTTTATTCTTTTTTTTTTTCTTCTTCTCCCGTTGAAGGTCTGTTCCTCTTTCCAGATGGGTCCCACCCAGGCGTATAACAGCCAATTCATGAACCAGCCCGGGCCACGGGGCCCTGCCTCCATGGGGGGCAGCATGAACCCCGCAAGCATGGCGGCTGGCATGACACCCTCGGGGATGAGCGGCCCTCCCATGGGCATGAACCAGCCCCGACCACCCGGCATCAGCCCCTTTGGCACGCATGGGCAGCGGATGCCCCAGCAGACCTACCCGGGCCCCCGGCCCCAGTCCCTCCCTATTCAAAGCATAAAGAGGCCATACCCAGGAGAGGTGAGTGTGACATGGGCAGGTGGTGGGCAGGGTGGGAGATGGGGAGGACCCAGGGTTCAAAGATGCTGGGGCTGTGGGTGGCTCCTTGGAGAGGGTATGGGTTAACCTTCAAAAAGCCTGGACCGAAAGGTAGAGCCTTGAGGGTGAGGTGCCACTGGGTCTGAAACCAGCTCTGCCATGTCCCAGGCCTGCCAGTTCCATGCCTGGAAAAGATAGGGAGCCTGCCTGAGTCAGCTTTTTGGTTTGTAAATGGCTGTAACTATCCAACCAACCTACCTCCTCCTCCTCTGGCTGCTTGGAGGGCCTGACTAAGGGATCACATGCGGTTTGTGGCCCTGGGCCAGCATGGCCGGGCACTGAGCACGCAGCAGCTCTTTTGTCTCTTGTCTTGGCTCAGACATGACCTGGGTGATTTTTAGTAAGGACTAGACTACTTTGGGTCTACATTCCTCATGCCTATGTGAGGGCTTCCTTATTTCCTTCTAAAAATGAGAGAGGAGACAAAACCCCGTACATATCTAAAAGCTGTGCCCACTGGAGACATGATTGGAAGGCAGACAGCTAATTTCTGAGGGCTCTTCTCTATGGACAGCCAGAGGCCCTGTCAGGTGTGCCGCCCGCCAGGCTGCCAGCCCACTCAGCCAAATATGGGTGAAGATTTAGGGGAGTGAAGCCCACACCTCCTACCCTCCAGGAACCAGGATTTTAGTAGAAATGATAAGGTCTGAGCAGGGCCCCCAAGTATATGATGCACAGCAGAGTGTACAGAATTCAATATTCGAACAGAGGAAGACTTCCTGGAGTGGGTGTCACAGGGCCTACAATGAGCACTCAGAAAACAAGTTGACACTAAGGAGCTTGTGAAAGACTTGGTTCACCTGCAGAAGACACGGGGAACCCAGAATCCTAGCCCAGACATGCCCCTTGGGAAGCCTGCCTTGATTTTTTTTCCCCCAGAATAAGATTCTTCCTGAGCCTTTCCGCCAGCGCTCTGCTCCATGGCATTCTCAAGTCAGCTTCCCCCTGCCCTCTTGGCTCAGACCCTCAGTGTGGGCTTCCACTGGCTTTGGAGCTCAGAGACCTTAAGTTGCTGGAAAGGTCTGTGACGCCCTCTGGCATCCACGCTAAGCTCAGGCTAGAAGGAGGGTTGGCTGCTGGTGGAAGTCTCCCCTCCGAGTCCAGGAGGCAGAAGTCAGGGACCTCTCAAACACCCAGGAACCTGGGTCAAGACTAACCCTCAGCACCAGTTCAGGGCAGGAGCAAGAAAGAAATTGGCCCCCGAGGTCCTGTCTGTCCTGGGGGGGCTTGGAAATGCACAGCCCCCATGCACATCTGGACCCCTTTGTGCTCAAACCCTTGGCTGGGGATGCATCCATAGACCATGCATCAGCTACTGGCACTTAGGGAGGGGCCTGCAGAAAAGGCAGGGATTTTCCAGCCATTAACCCGACATCAGCCTGGCACCTGCACCAATGTCATGCTCCCAGCTCCAGCCTGCCACCAAAGACTCTCAATTATCTCTACTAAATTAACCATTCCCTTCAGTGTGCTCTGCTGCTACCCAGCTACAAGATGCCCAACACTGGGCCGTGACACTGGGTGGTCTTGGTATGCGTGATCTGACCCACGCTGGGGACGCTGCCCTTGCCTCCCAGTGGCATGTGCTGTCTGAACCGCTGACCTGGGGCAGAACTGGAGGCAGGTCCCCTGGTCCTACAGAGGACTCCCTTCTCTAGCCCCACTCTCACTGCCCCCCTGCCGTGATGGGAGACCGTCTTCCTAAGCAGCAGTGTGAGCTGGACGCAGTTCTTAAGCAAAGACACAGGTGTCTCCACCCTCTGACATTCACCCACAAGTCCTTCATTCATTTGTTGATCCAGTATTTTGAGGACCTTTTCTCAGTCAGACCCTGGACCCAGCTGTCTTCTGGACTCTGAGCCTTGAGGGCACAAGAGACACGTTATAGACTAGGAGTTTCAACAGACAGGAAAAAAAACACTGACCTCATAGGACATAACGTCCTGGGTTGTCTGGATGGCAGGTGACCCCGAGGGTCATCTGCTCTTACATGTGGAAACCAGTGTGAGCAGGAGTGACATGTGTCACCTCGTGTCACCTGGGACTCTGAGGACGGGGACCCTGCCCTTCCCAGCACTGTGTCTCCTCTCCCTTCTCAACTGCCTCTCCCAAGAAGGCTTGTGTTATCTCATCACCAGCCTGGTTCTCCCACCCTCTGCACAGATGGCTGGAACTGAACCCCAGTGTGTTTTGCTTAGTGTGGGGTACAGAACAGCACCTTCTGGTCAGCCTCAGTGCAAGGGTAGAGCAGTTACTTTCTGGAGGTGCATCCTGTGGTCATCATCCCCTGTGACATACAAGCACTAGGAGAGACGCAAGGTGGGCTTTAGAATTGATTCCCGCTCCTCGTGGCAGCAACAAGAGGCTCTAATGGTGCTGCAGAGGCGAGGGGCATGGCCCTTTGAGAAAGGCAGCTGGGTGGGGAGGCAGCCTGCACATTGATGGGCACAATGTGGATGTCAGGGCAGGAAAGGGCCTCAGGCATCACGTGGGTCAGCCTCTCTCTCCCCTTTGTAACTGGGGTGTCTTATGGGTTGAAAAGCAGGGACAAAGGAGTGGGAGACAACCCTGGCTCTGTGACTCTAATGATTTCTCCCCATCCTTTCTCTTTTACCACAGCCCAACTATGGAAACCAGCAATATGGACCAAACAGCCAGTTCCCCACCCAGCCAGGCCAGTACCCCACCCCCAACCCCCCAAGGCCGCTCACCTCTCCCAACTACCCTGGCCAGAGAATGCCCAGCCAGCCGAGCACCGGGCAGTACCCGCCCCCCACAGTCAACATGGGGCAGTATTACAAGGTGAGTCCCACCACCACCCACCCTATCCCTTCCTGTGTCATCCTGGCCCTGTGTGTGCTCTGACATCCCCAAAGGGCAGGCAGAGATTTCTGGATGTGTCCTGTGTGCCCACTGCTGAGCATGTGGTAGCCTAAGTGTCAGCCCAGCTTTTCATGGGTCCTTGTTTTCACCAGGCCCAGATGATGATTTTCCATCTCCTTTTTTATTGATTGCACATGAGATGATAGCAGGAAAAGAGGTGCACTTCCTAGCGAGGGAAAGCCCACACCCGAATATATTTTAACGTATCATTGTAATTTCTCCTTGGGCAGGTGGGCGCCCTCATGTTCTATAGATATGACTGAGGCTGTGGTTTTGAATCCACTTCTTTCACTGGACATGAAGTCATGAGCATGTTATACTTCTGGCTGCCGAGTCTCTGTGGTTTTCACTTCCGGTGACTGCCAGACACTCCCCAGGAGACACCCATGCCATAGTTTATCTTCCCTTTTCTATTGGACGTTTGGGTTGTTTCTGATTTTTCACTCCCCAAAAACACAGCGATGACAATTCTTCCAGGCACATGTCTTTTTCCTTCATTGAGATGATCGTGGAGTTCATGCTCGGAGTGAGGACGACTCTGGGAATATTTTACATTTATTTGCCAAGGAATCATGCCAGCTTACATGACCACCTGCCATGTGGGTCTACTGTTTTGGCTCCAGCTTCAGCACACTTAGGTGTTTCTATTTTTGTAAACTCCTTGGCTAAATTAATAGCTTTGGGCAGAGAGAGGTAAACCATTGTCCCGGGGATTGCCTGTTCCACCCCACCCCGCACAGGGCAGGCCTCTACAGCGTCCCTGGTACTTGTGGCAGATTTTCCTATCAGGAGGGAGAGCAGGCTTCTGGTGGCTTCCCTGCCTTCCTCTCATGACATTGTTTATCTTGTTTCAACAGCCAGAGCAATTTAATGGACAAAATAACACCTTCTCGGGAAACAGCTACAGTAACTACAGCCAAGGGAATGTGAATAGGGTATGTTCCACTTGTCAATTTAGGAATTAAAACCCACACACACTGTCTCAGGGATCACAGGTTCTGGCTTCAGCCCTTCTGGACATCAGAAGGGCCCTCAGATGGGGGTGCACTCCTGGGTCTTCTGCTCTGAGGCACAGAGATGCCTGGACAGATAATCCGCTGTGCTTGGTGGGTGGCCCTGGGCTGAGTGTAGACCAAGAGAGGAAGGGAGGGCTCCTGGGGGACTCCCTGGCCCCTGATCCTGCAGGCCTCACTCCATGTGGAAGCACCAGTGGGGTGGGGCTAGAGTCATGATATGAGCAGGAGACAACCTGGGCTTCACCCCAGCTCTCCTCTCCCCCTGGGGTTATATTAAGCAAGTCTCCCATTACTGTCAACCTGTGTCCTCATTTGTCAAATGGATGGGTGGCCCTGTCCCTGCTGAAACTGGAGGCACTAAGAAGTGCAAAGAGCCAAATAATGGAGGGCGGGAGTGGGGGCCCTTCCCAGGCCTATCTGTCTTCTCATGGGGGTGGAGACTTCAGTGCCAACTACGGGGGAGAAGTCTTCCCTGGATGGGTGAGTACATATCCACTTCCCCCAGCCCTGTGACACTAGAACTTATATATGGTTTCTCTTTCCCTCCAGCCTCCCAGGCCAGTTCCTGTGGCAAATTACCCCCACTCACCTGTTCCAGGGAACCCCACACCCCCCATGACCCCCGGGAGCAGCATCCCCCCTTATCTGTCCCCCAGCCAAGATGTTAAACCACCCTTCCCACCTGACATCAAGCCAAATATGAGTGCTCTGCCGCCACCCCCAGGTGAGTACCCGCTCTCCTTCCCTCTGCCTTTCAGCTCTCAGCCAGCACCCATGGGGCCTGCAGCAGGCCAGGGCCCGGGGCTTGGAAGTTAGGCTGCCTGTGGGGGCTGGGAATGTGGAAAGAACAGGAGGAGGAATTGAGAGCAGGTAAGGGACCTAGAAATCCCCCACCCAAATGGGACATTTGGGGGGCCTACACTGCCAGAAGCCCTCCTTGCCACCTGCCCGAGCCCTGGAAACCAGCTGTAAGAGAGCCAGGAGGCAGGACCTGGGGCTTCCAGAGCAGGGAGTTGGTGGAGGAGTTGGTGGGATGGGAGGGAATGTAGAGCGGGGTCAATGGGACACAGAGGATGGTCAGAGTGGCATTGGGTGGACTGGCAGGACCTGTGGCTCCCTGATATGCACTTGGGCAAATGGCCCACCCTTCACAATCCTGTTTACACACATGCTCAGCGTGGCTGTGTTGCCATGTGTTTAGCATGGCTGAGCAAGCCCCACCATGGCCTCAGAGCCTACGGTCTTGTGTGCCCCTGGCCAGGAGGTTCATCCTGCCCCTTCCCCTTCCCAGCCAACCACAACGACGAGCTTCGGCTCACGTTCCCTGTGCGGGATGGCGTGGTGCTGGAGCCCTTCCGCCTCGAGCACAACCTGGCTGTCAGCAACCACGTCTTTCACCTGAGGCCCACGGTTCACCAGACACTGATGTGGAGGTGAGTGTCAGATGGGGACTTGGACCCAAGCTGGGTAGAGGAGTCCCAGGTGGTGCATCTTTGCACCCAGGTGGTGCAGTGTCTGCTTCTTCAACATCACATGCTGGGCCCTGCTCTGTGCATGGCCCTGGGGGTGCCATGGGGATTTACAGGCACAGGGGAAACAAACAGGCAGCCTCTGCTTAGTGTCCAGAGGGCAGGGAGTCACTGTCAATCCCCCAATCCTGAGAGAGTGGGCAGGGGTAACTTCCAGTGGAAAAGGTGGCTAGTTCAATCCTAGAGACTGAAAACAAGGGTATTCCAGTGGAGGTCCTGAGTTGGCAAGAAGGAACTTGAATGTGCTCATGGCCAGAGCTGGGAATGTAGAGATGTGAGATGGGAGCAGGGCTGGGTGGACAGGACCAACAAGTCCTGCAGACTGGCTGCTCAACACCGGGGCGTGCAGAGCCAGACTTCCCTGTGGTATCCCACATCTTCTTCTCCTGACCTCCTTTGATCTTGTGGGTAGACAGTGTGTGTCCCCGTGACAGTGAGGAAACTGAGGCTAGGGAAGTTAAACTTGCGGGAGTTCTCACAGCTAGCCAGGGGCAGAGCTGGCACTTGGGGCTGCTCACTTAGCTGCCAGAACTTGGGGTCTCCACCTTGGTCCTTGCTCCTCAGGCAGGACTCAGTCACAGCACAGCACTGCAGTGCCTGTGACTAGAGCCCCTCAGCTGCCCAGCTGAGGGCACGAGATAGGTCCAAACTGGGCAAGCTCGCACACACTGCTGTCCCAGGGCACTGGCCATGTGGAGTAGGCTACGGTGAGGGCCAGAGACAGCTGGGGTGCATGTGCAAACTTGGAAACTCCCTCAAGAAGATAGGTGAAGAGACCACAGTGCAGGCGCCCTGCTCACCCACCCATGAGTATCCTCACCTGAGAGGCTTCTGCGGTCCTGGCCTGACCCCACTTGGTTTCCACACACATGTGGTCACTGCTATGTTTGTGTGGCCCCTTCAGTGAGTGCCCTGTGCTCAGGGCCCACTTGGGGTTGTGGGAGAGGACTGACCAGAAATGACATTGGCCTGGGATTCTGCCCCCAACAGGAGCTGGGGATAAGCATGATCAGCTTCCCAATTGTTCTTATCAAATTAATGTCTTTCTTTTTTGTCCCTTTGTCTGTTTTGGGGGGCGGGAGGGTGTGGGGATAGAATTCACCCTTCCAGGAAGAGGTCAGGGGACATCATGACTACCCCTGTGGTTTGTGGCTGGAGGGAACAGCACATGGGAGATAGAGAAGAATTTGGGAGGTTGGGATGGGTCTGACTGGAGATTTGGGCAGGGGGAGTTTTGGGGGCAGAGGAGACCTCTGGGAAGTTAGGGGACAGTTGTAGCTGAGGACAGGGTCCTGAGGGACTCTCATGGGACTGGTGAATTAGCGGTGGGCAACTGGTCTGGCATCAGGGATTCTGGGCAGCCCCCTCGCAGAGCTGCTGTGAACCTCACTTTGCCCCCAGGTCTGACCTGGAGCTGCAGTTCAAGTGCTACCACCATGAGGACCGACAGATGAACACCAACTGGCCGGCCTCGGTGCAGGTCAGCGTGAATGCCACCCCCCTCACCATCGAGCGTGGCGACAACAAGACCTCCCACAAGCCCCTGCACCTCAAGCACGTGTGCCAGCCAGGCCGCAACACCATCCAGATCACCGTCACGGCCTGTTGCTGCGTGAGTGTGCCGGGCAGGGGCTGAGGGCATAGTGGGGGGAGCCAAGATCCCCCTGGGCCCTGTCTTTGGGTCTCCCATCGCTGGCCCCACAGCTTTCTGGAACACCACCCTTCCTCCCGAAACGTACAGCAATTCCCCCAGGCTATGGAATAAAAGACTCAGGTGGCCCACGAAGCCTCCAGGCTCTGGCCTTGGTCTTGGCACTCCTCATTCACACTACACCCTCCATCTGACCTACACACTCATGCCTACTTACTCCTGTGCCCCTCCTCCTGATCACCTCCCCCAGGCCTGTCACCTTACTCCCTTGGTAAAGTTGTGTATATACCCAAAGTCAGGCTCTGTCTTGACTTGTTTGTAAGAAATTTGTATACTCTAAATACCAGACTCTAAATTCCCCAGACTCAGCTCCACCAAATCTAGAGTGAACTTCCATTTCTTCACCCAGTCCTGCTGTCAGAATGCAAGTGTGTGTACACCCCTCCAACCTGTGACTCACTGGCTTAGGACCACATCTGAACCAAGCTTCTGTTCCCCAGAGATCAGGGTCTGACATACAGGGCTTGTTTGGGGACTTGTATGGAAGTGGATTGCCAGCCCTACTCTGCTGTCCTATTTGGGAAACATAGGAGATGGCAGAGCTCTGATCCTGCCCTTACGAGCATAGGGACACCAAGGCCACCTAGAGATAGGGGTTGCAAGACCAGGGATGCCCCCAGCATGTGGGGGCTTGTTGGTGTGTGCAGTCCTGGAAGACTTCTTGGAAGACAGAGGACAAGGATGACACCCTCTGACAGGGAGGGCAGAGAATGCCTGATGGGATGCAATGGTAGGCAAGGTTAGGGATGAGACCACCTCCAGTCCTGTGCAGTGGGCCCCCTAACCTCATCCCATGGATGTTTTAATGCCAAAGTCAGTCTTGAAAGGCTAGAAGAGATCCAGCAGACTCACAGGTCCCAGGAAGCCACCTTTCTCTCACGTCAGGTCCCAGGAGGTTGCTGCTGGGTAGCATCACTGTAGACAATGGGCCTTTTCCTGGGCTTGGCCTCTAGAGACCTTCAGGCAGGGCTGCCTAGGTCTGCAGAGACTGCAGACCATGGGGCCCTGGGCAACCCCTAGCATCCCCTCTTTCTCGGCAGTCCCACCTCTTCGTGCTGCAGCTGGTCCACCGGCCCTCTGTGCGCTCCGTGCTACAAGGGCTCCTCAAGAAGCGCCTCCTGCCCGCAGAACACTGCATCACGAAAAGTGAGTGGAGCAGAGGGGAGAGCGGGCCCAGCCCACCTATGCTTGGGGCTGGGAAGTGGTCATTGGGTCCAGAGGTTCCTTGGTACCAGTCATCCCTGCCCCCACCCCCACACACATGCTCCCCCACTGGGACTGTGTGGGTGACGAGTTGAGCCTGGTGCTACAGGAACTGGTGAGAATTCAGACCCACCAAGGGTAGAAAAGATATGAGGCAGAATAAAACAAAATGTGGTATAGACAGGCCAAAATGTGGGAGGAAATGATCACCTGGAAGAAAAGGAGGAACTGAGAATGGGGCATCTTCACCAGGAGGGAGGCAAAGAGGTAAATTCTTGCCTCTTCACCCCAATATTTCATGATTAAATCCTGGAAGGAAGGCATGGCTCAGGGTCTACTCCTTTGGAGGAAACAGCCAGGTGACCACTCAGAGTGGGGGGCGATACTGTGCAGAGAGTGTACCCTGCACCCCCCTTTAATTGTGCTTCTTCCCATTTACCTCTGAGCTCTCAAATCTCACCAGGAAGCTGTCCATTTCCACACTTGCAGAATTAGGTGCCTGGGGAGCCCTCTACTGACCCAGAAAGTCAATGAAGTGCCAGACTGAGTTTCTGCAAGTTTTGCAGAAAGTCCCCCTTACTAGCGAAGGCAAAGCCTCTTCTGCCGAGACTGGGAAACTGACACGCGCCACCTCCGAGGCACGTGTCCACCACTCATTGCCTAAGGGCCCTGCTATTCCAGAGGGCTGGGTGGGCCAAGCTGCACTTTAATCAAGGGAGTGGGGGAGCGGGGAGACACTACAGTCACTCATAGACCCTACTTGTATTTTATAGGGGATGGGGGTAGAGAAATAGGTACGTTCAGCCACAAGATGAGTGGGGGGGCACGTGCAGGCGCACCCTTCCCTCTTCATCTCCCCTTGCCTCCCACCCCATAGTCAAGCGGAATTTCAGCAGTGTGGCTGCCTCCTCGGGGAACACGACCCTCAATGGGGAGGATGGTGTGGAGCAGACAGCCATCAAGGTGTCTCTGAAGTGCCCCATCACATTCCGGCGCATCCAGCTGCCTGCTCGAGGCCATGATTGCAAACACGTCCAGGTGGGCAGTCCCCTAGGCAGGCACAACAGCTCTGGAGTCTGAGGGGGAGGCAGGGGAAGCAGGGCCTGACTCTGATCCCTGAAGGAAACTGTGGCCATCAGCAGGTGATGCCACTCACTCCCTCAGCCGCCATTTGTCCTTAGAGCATCTTCTCTGCATGCTCAGGGCTTGCTTCCCAGAGGATGGCTGACCTGGATTTAGACAGGCACTGCCCTGGCAGATATCAGATGCCAACTGGAGATTCCACACATGCAACCTCAGCTGTTCCCAGGCCTGAGAGCAGGGACACCTCTGCCTGGCGGCTGCAGTGTCCCAAAGCCTGGCCCCAAGCAGGTGCTTGGGAAGTGACAGAATGAGTGACCGCCAGTCTGGGAGACTGTAACAAAACCCTGTGCTGGTGTGGGCCAGATTCATTGGGTGGGAGCTGCTCAGGGAAGGAATCCCAGAAGAGGGGTTAGAAGTTACCCCCCGAAGCCCATAAATCAGCAGCCTGGAATGAGGATGCAGGGTGGGCAGCAGGGTCCTTGCCTGGCGAACTCTGAGCCCTACCCTGCACGCAGCTGCTTCCTAGGGCTTCTCCTGTGGATGTGCGGTCACTTTCTCCATCTGCACACATTGATGAGCTGGACCTAATGTGTCCTCTGCCTGGGCTGCACTGGTGGGAAGGTGGGAGTCCACACTCGCCCCACCCTTGGAGAGGGGCTGTCGCGGAGCAGAATCAGTGAGGGGCAGCTGTGGGGGAACCAGTAACCTTCTCAGAGGACATGGGCTGGTCCTAGGAGGCTTGGGAAGAGCATGAGGAACTTCTGGACTGCTCACTGAACAGCAGAAAGATGACATGGTCATCATCCTCCAGCTGTGGGCCTCTCCCACCTGTACCTTCCCGAGGGAAGGCCTTCATAAGGGTCCCAAAGGCAGTGGTGCTTGTGTCTGGACAGTTTCTCCGAGTCCTTGGTCTCACCGGCCTGTCTGTGTTGTCTCCTAACTCCCGCAGTGTTTTGACCTGGAATCATATCTGCAGTTGAATTGCGAGAGAGGGACCTGGAGGTGTCCTGTGTGCAAGTGAGTGACGCCCACCCCGAGGGGACTTTCTCCTCTGGCTGCAGAGGGGAGGCGTGCCACTGACTTCCTCTGGCCTTGCTCCTTGGGATTCAGCCTCCTCCGCCTGCCCTGAAAGCAAAGCAGAAGGGCTCAGGGCACAGTCCCTTTGTAACAAGCTCCCACAAGGCCTGCCTCAGTGCCTGCCGTGATAACCGGTGGCAGGGGTGGGGTCTCCCTGCATACCTGGGCCCCCACCACCTAGGGTCTAGGGGCAAACACCAAATGCTTCCCTTTCTTTTTCCAGTAAAACCGCTCTGCTCGAGGGCCTGGAGGTGGATCAGTACATGTGGGGCATCCTGAATGCCATCCAACAGTAAGTGGGCCTCCCCGAGGTGGGGGCAAAGGGTGTAGTGCCAGCCTGGATTTGACGAGCTTGTGGGCACCCCTGATATCCTCTCCTCTCCAAGCAGGCAGACCACTAACCCACATCTCTTACTCTCTGACTACTTGGAGGCAAATGAGCTTCCAGAAAAGATCATATTCAGCTGCAGCCCCTGACAGCTGCTTCCTGAGCGGGGAAGCCTCCAACTGCTCAGTGTCTAACCACTTTCTTTTCTTGACCGCAGTTGCCCCACTTTCAAACAGTTGTAAAAATCCCCCACCCCTCTGTCATGTGCAGAGCATGGCGGGAATGGGGGCAGGGAATGGGCATGGACCCCTCGGTGTCTGTTAGAGCTCAGGACTCATGTCCGAAGCCCAGCGTCCCAGAGCCTAAGCTGCAGTCCCTCCTCTCCACAGCTCCGAGTTTGAAGAGGTCACCATCGACCCCACATGCAGCTGGCGGCCAGTGCCCATCAAGTCAGACCTTCACATTAAGGATGACCCCGATGGCATCCCCTCTAAGCGATTCAAGACCATGAGCCCCAGCCAAATGATCATGCCCAACGTCATGGAGATGATCGCCGCTCTGGGCCCTGGCCCGTCCCCCTACCCACTCCCACCGCCCCCTGGGGGCACCAGCTCTAATGACTACAGCAGCCAAGGTGGGTGATGTGGGATAGGGGGGGAGGGCAGCCCCAAGTCCCAGCAGGAGCATGAGGTCTCTGGGTTGATGGTGCAGGCACAGGGGGTGGGCATGGAGGAGATAAAGGTAACACATTCCCCAGAAACAACCCTATATCAGTACGACAGCACCTACAGTGCCACCCTCCCCTCGTCATCTACTCTCTGGGTTCCATCCAGCCCTGGGTGTAGGCACCCCCAGGGACAGCGTAAGTGGGAATCTGCCCTGTGAGCCAACCTCCTGCCTCTCCCACCCCACACTGCCCAGCCTCCCCTCCTGACTCTGGAGCTCCCAGCCAACTACTCCAAGCAGGCAGGTGCCATGCACAGGAGCTTCAGAGTCTGCTTTGCTGGGGCACACCTGCTATCTCTTCCCCCGCACGAGTGTTCCCGGGAACCTGTAACAGAGTACTCCGCCTGTGGTTCTTGCTGCTTTCCCCACCCTCCTGTGACCCTGTCCTTGCAACTCTTCTCCCTCCTAGGGACAGTCCTGAGACCTAGATTCCAACCTCTGTCACTCCCTCTTACTCTCTGCTGCCCTGACCATGCTTCACCTGCTCTGTCATTGGTTCCTGGAAAGTCCCCATCGCCTCAAACATGGGAAGGCAGCTCCCAGCACTGTCCTGCTCTTAGATCTTCTGGCCTTGACCCTTCTGCGGGGCCTGGGACTTCCTGGTGAAGCACAGCCATGTGAGGCAGTGAGGAGAACGGGCCTGGGGTCTAGCTCAGAAGATCCTGTGGAAGGCTGAGACGTGGGCCTCATTCCCATCCACCCCTTTCTCCCACTGCCCCTCCTGTGGCTGTGGCACATGCCCTGGGGTGCAAAGGCCATATGCTGCCCCTGCACACAGCCTGGAAGCCTCGGGCCACCAGTTCCCGTCTCCAGCACTGGGCTCTTGATTTACACACTCTCTGCTCCCTGAGAGTGGGTCATCTTCCTTCTGAGTGACAACCCCCCCATTTTGTTCCCTCCCTAGGCAACAACTACCAGGCCCATGGAAACTTTGACTTCCCCCATGGGAACCCCGGTGGGACGTCCATGAATGACTTCATGCATGGGCCTCCCCAGCTCTCCCACCCCCCGGACATGCCCAACAACATGGCCGCCCTCGAGAAACCCCTCAGTCACCCCATGCAGGAAACTGTGAGTACCTCTTCCTCACCCCGAACTCCCCCTGCCTCCCAGCCTCTGTATGGGGCCAACAGGCCAGAGGACTCCCCCAGGACCTTTCTTTCCAATGTTTGCCTGTTATCCTCCCAGACCAACAGGAGGGCTGAGAACAGCACTGGGGCCTCAGAGAAGAGTGACAGCCTGGCCAAGTCTCAGTTGTGGCCCTTTAGCATCTTTAGACTCCAGATTCCAAAGAGATGGCGGGGTGGGGGAGGGTTAGGGTGTTTCCTGAGCACGCATATGCACATCCCTACACAAGCCCCCCATTCACCACCTATCCCCTCTCTCCCCTACTCACACACACTCTTACACCAACATGTTGTAACCCCAGCCATCTAAAACTTTGTCCCCAACCCAGACCCCTATTCCTCTGGGTCTGGTTCTTCAGCATTGCCACCATCTCCTGCAAAACAAAATGCTGAGAAGACTACTTAGCCTTAGAGAATTCACTTTTCATCCTTTCTCACATTTATTAATACATAACCTGTGCTACTGAGAAAGCCCCCTGTGGATCTGAATTCCAGCTCCACACAGAAGCCTCCCCTTCCTTGGCCCCAACAGACTAGTAGGCCCGGCTACCTCAAGTCCTCATCTTGTGGGCATTGATGGTCCACTCTGTTTAGCAGACAGTTCCTGAGCCTGTGCTTTGGACCGGACCTTATACCAGAGATAGGCAAGACAGACACAGGCCTTGTGCTATTGGAGCAAAAGTTCTGGTAGTCCCTGACAGGAAAAACCATTTTGGAGAAACCGAGGCCTGGGGGCTGCAGTCTGAGGCCTCAGTCATTCTGTTTGTTTTTCATCTCTCATCTATGGAGGACAAAGGATGGTCAGTGAGGCCTCGGTAGGAGCCCTGAGCCATATCAGCTGGAGAGAAGGGCCCAGGGCTCTCACCAGTGCCTGGTCACCAGTACTGGTGGTGAAGACACTTGATACTGGTACCTGAGGCACCACTCTGGACCTTTCCATCTTCCATCACATGGCCTAAAAGGAAGGGCCTCTGGCTTGTACTGTGCTCTGCCACTAGGCCAGGGGTTTTCCTGTGGGCCAGAGTCACCGGGTTCTCAGACAAAGTAACTAGGAGGCAGAAGGTCTCTGGTGAGGGGCTCTGCAATAGCTTCCCCATAAGGGCCCCAGAATGCCAAGCCAGAAATAGCTGCTTTCAATTCCCACCATCGGAAAAAATGCCATATACATCCTGTGTCCAGCAAGACTTTCTGTTGCCTTGTTAGCCCTGCTACCTGGGCTCTTTGCAAAAGATCTCTGAATTGACTTCACAATCCCCAGAATGTTTTCCAGATATGCATTGTCCTTCCCTATTTCTGGGCTCTCACCTGAGGTCAGCTGGACCCAGAAGTCCAGCTGTGCACGGTGGGGTGGTGCAGACATACCTGCCCAACTGGAATGGCCTGGTCCCTGCCAAGCCTGCAACTGAGAAGGATTCCCATGTGCACAGTGATTGGTGGGGGGTACCAGCCAGGCACTGACTGGCCCAAAAATTGGACCATGCCAGGTGGCGGGCTGACAGGTGTATGTATACCAGCAGCTCCCAGAGAGCACCTGTTCCTCAGAGCTCTGGATCATTCCAACAAGCTTCAAGGCCAAGAGGGAGAGTTGTGTCAGTACATTGGGGGACTGCCCGTCCTGGGCTGGGCTACTCCAGGACTGTGGACCCCCTCCCTGCCCCCCAGAATGGGCACTGTGGGGCATCCACAGACATATTTGGGAGTCAAGAGTTGGCCTCAGACTGACGGCATGGTGATGGCCCCCTGGTGATGCAGTCATCCTGTTCATAGGGGGGTGGAGGGGTGCTGTGCTACATGGGGTCACCTGGACCTCAGGCAGAGGCCAACCTTCAAGAAGGCCTGGGAAGCAGCTTTTAGGAGAAACAGGAAGAGAAACTAGGGTCTGGAGAAGTTTCGGGATGGTGTGGGTGGTTTCCAAACCCACAACGCAAGGAAATGTAAATAATTGTGTGGCCAGAAGGCAGGGCAAGGAGGGGCTACTAAGTAATCAAGGCGGCACTTGAGCATCTGGAGTATCAAGCTCCCCTTGATAGGCAGAGCACAAGTGGGCCTGGGGGCCTATGGGGGGATTCTGGGGGGTTTGTGAAGAATTGGACTGGGCCTTTGTCTCTGAGATCTGACATCTGAAGGGAAGATAGCAGACAGACTAAGAGGGAAGTTTTAATCTCACCCACACGTGGTCTCCCAGGGTCACCAACCCCATGGTCGTGTGGTCACCCTGCATATACCCCTGCCCCCTCAGCCTAGTGTTACAGTGCATGCACACGTGGGAGGCTGTGGGTCCCCTAGGTGATCTGCCAGGGAAACATCATCTGCCCCAACCTCAACAAGGTACCCCCATAATGAATCAGGAGGCGCAGTTGCCCACTTTCCTTAGAAACCTGTGGTGACGCCTGTGACTGCCTGGATGGGGTGTCCAAGAGGAAGGTCCAGCAGTACTGGGAAGCCCTGCCCTGTTCCTTGGTCTTGAGTTTAATCCCACACCCACCACAGGCAGTAGGCTGGGCTTGTGCCAAAGCTCCTGAAGGAACCTACATGCCAGGATCACTCCCTGCCCAGCGGGAGGCACAGACCCACCCCTGAGCTGCACGCCTGCCCCATGCTGTCTGTCCATGTCTGCTCTCTACCGCCCTGGCCCTGAGGAGGCCTGCACCACACTGCCAGCAGCACCCCTCCCACCTCCCTGGAAACATGCCCATTTTGCTTCTCCATTCTGCCCTTGCTATTGTTCATTGTGGTGATGGTGTCCGGGCTGGAGAGGCGGAGGGGCTCAAAAGGGCCTTGGCCCCGCTCTCAGTGTCTGTGTGTGTCTCAGAGCCCCATCCGCCTCCCCGTCCACCCCACACAGCCTCAGAGGCCCTTGGCCCGCCTTCCTCTCCACAGCCTTCCTGACTGGAGGCTCTGGGGGAGGACCTTTTTGTTTGTTTTGCTTCCCAAAAAAAGACAACATTCAGCTTTGTAAAGGGGTGGCTTTGTTTTGGGGGTTTGTTATTTTCCTGGTTTTGTTTGGTTTTCATTTCTCCAGGCATCTCGTCGCTGTACCTCGTCACCTCACCTTTCTTTTTTCCTGCTCTCTCCTCCTCCACAGATGCCACACGCTGGCAGTTCTGACCAGCCCCATCCCTCCATACAACAAGGCTTGCACGTCCCACACCCCAGCAGCCAGTCAGGGCCTCCATTACATCACAGTGGGGCTCCTCCTCCTCCTTCCCAGCCTCCCCGGCAACCGCCACAGGCCGCTCCCAGCAACCATCCTCACAGCGACCTGACCTTTAACCCCTCCTCAGCCTTAGAGGGTCAGGCCGGAGCGCAGGGAGCGTCCGACATGCCGGAGCCTTCGCTGGATGTAAGTTGGGGTCACCATTTGCCTTGACCTGGGGCTAGGCCTGGCCCCAGGACTTGCCCAGAGAGCAGGGGTGGGTGTTGAGGGCTCAAGGCCCAGGGTGGAGGAGGTACAGCTGTGAGGGGGCGGGTGGGCAGTGGGTGGGCCCAGCCCGCCAGCCAGCCAGCCTCTCCTGGCTCCAGAACCAGGGACTCCCACAACCGGAAGCCTCACCAGGGACCAAGCATCCCCTTCCACACCCTGCCAGCCCCTGGTCTCCTTGACCATAGTCCTGCAGCACAGTCCTGCCCCGCCTCCCCCCAGCCCTCAGCCCCTACGGGTGGGGACTCTGGAGGCAACACAGGAGACTCCCTGCCCTTCCTCCCCTACCCTCTCTCCCCTCATTGAGTTTGCCATCTCTGTGTCTGCCACATTCTCTGGCCCAAGGCAGGGGAGGGGCGGAGTGACCGGGTCCCTCTGTCCATCTCGCTGGCGTCTGTCTGTCTCCAGTTTCTTGTCCATGTGTTGTCCATGCCCGGCTGCTTCTGCTTGCTCCATCACTCACTCTGAGAGAGGCCCTCGTGTGGGGTGACAGTAGAATCAGCCGAAGTCAAGGGAGGGTCACTGAGGCGGAAGTTGGCGGCTGAGATTTAGTGGTCTTCCACCTTGAGACCTGAATAGCCTGGAAGGTGGCCGGGATGGCTTGAACATTGGGATCTGGACAACTGGCCACAGCTGGCCAGTAAGGGTCGTGCCTCCACCTCTCCCATCCCATACCCCTAGGCTCTAGATTCCCAGAGAAGAGGCCTATTCTCGCCTCGGCGCTCCTATCCTTCATGTCACAGCCCCATGCAGTGGCAGGGTCTTCACTGGGGTTTACTCAGCTCTGCAACTGGATGAATTGTCCTCCCCAGACCAGGCCAAGGGTAGGGTGCTTTTTAGGCTCATGAGGGTCTTCATGCAACAGAAAGGACCCCTAAGACCTCATGGTAGAGGGTAGGGACAGCACAGCCTCTGCCCAGGGAGACCACAGGGAAGGACAGTGTCGCTGTCCAGACACATGCTCAACAAGGAGCAGTGACTTCTTAGTAGAGATCTAGGGTGGTGGGAGCTACAGGGACCACCTGGCCTTATGGCAAACTCACGTGAGAAGCCATGTGACCTGCAACTCCTCACAGTGGTGCCTTGTCAGCTGGTAGGCCAGGGCCCCTCTCTCTTAGGCTTGAAATGAGCGTGTGCGCCCCAGACTAAGTGGCCTGGATATGTTTGGGGACAGCCAGTGCTGGTAGTTTCTCTGTTCTGTCCTGGATACAGGATGCCGGTAGTGGGGAAGTAGGCGGGGATGTCCCTGCATTCCACACCCTGGGTGGCCTGGCCCCTCAGTCCACACCTCATCTGGGCTTCTGTACTTCTTTTCCAGCTCCTTCCAGAACTCACAAATCCTGACGAGCTCCTCTCATACCTGGACCCCCCCGACCTGCCGAGCAATAGTAACGATGACCTCCTGTCTCTCTTTGAGAACAACTGAAGCCCACCCCTCCGTCGGGGCCGCCCCTCCCCACTCTGCCTCCTCCCTTGTCAGTCCCACACACACTTTCCCACTGGGAGCTGTGCCCTCAGACCGCCCTGCTATGGCCTTCCCAGAGCGGAGGGGGTGGGAGGGCGCACTGTGAAGGCTGTGTGGGTCTTTGGCCCGCCCTCACCCGGAGCAGGCCCCGAAGATGACCCTCGCCATGGGGAACCAGCCGGGTGCGAGGCCCATGCTGACGATGGCTTCCCGGTCCCCTGTGCGTGCCGACTCCAGACGGCCCTCCAGTGCCCCCAAGGTTCTTCCAGTTTCTAGACTGTGATCCTGCCTCCCTGCTTCCTGGCCCAGAGCCTCCTTCAAGTGACTGAGCCTGAGAGAAGGCCCCCCAAGACCCAGGGGGGCCCGGAGCCTTGGAGGAGCAGTGACGGTTGGTGGCAGTGAGAGCCACCGTCATCAGCCACCACAGAAAAGCACAAACCTCTGGGAAAGCGCTCTCTCAGGGGCCATGGTCGTCGTTTTGACCCCTGACCTCTAAGCCAAGATACCCTGTAAACACTCTCTCAGAAAGCGGAGAAAAGACAATATTCTGTTTGAGAGAAGGCGTGCCATTCCTGCTTGGGGACTGGTGGGGACGGGTCAGGGGCTCCTTGGAGCCAGGACAGCGCAGCGGACAGCCCCATGGCCTTTGGACTCAGGCCGGGGCCTGGCTTTGGGGGGCAGAGAGAGTTAAAGTACCCTATTGAAATTATTGTGCCCTTAGCTGATGGGCGGGGGTGCAGGAGGATGCAGTCAGCCAGAGTCAAATAGGAATGGCAACTTAAAACTGCTCCAAGCCAATCCCTGTTTTTAAGCAACGATCGAAAGCTATGACGTCATCTGGAGAAAAGGAACATCAGGCTTGGACAGCAAGCAAACCATTTCTCTTCATGTGTTCTGTTTCTTTCCTCCTGCTCCCCACCCACCTCTCCAAGACTGTTACGTGGGGCACCAACTGCCCTTTGTCCTAGTTCTTTGTCCACCCAGACAGCCAGGTGGGGTGGCGGAGGGGCAGGGGAGGCATGGGCTTGGCCACGGAGTGGGCTTGGCCCCAGGCACTCCAGCCTCTCTGTCCATCTGTCCCTGCACTCAAGGCTGCCCCTGGCTCCAGCCCAGCTCATCACCATGCGTGTTGGGATATGCCCACGAGCATTGAGTGGTGTTTCTGTGGCTGCCTCAGATGCCACCCTCAGCTGCCAGCCTCTCCTTCCCTTTGTGTCCCCCTGCCCTTGCAAGCTCACCCCATACTCCCGCTTGCTCCAACAGAAGCAACCTCTGGTATTCCCTCCATGGCTTTGGCTTTGCTCCATCCACCTTTCTGCTCTCGGATCTCCCGGGTAGCTTGTGCGTCCGTTCTGTTTCAGGCTCATCTGTGCTCCCCTAAGCCACATGGCCTGTGATGCTGCTGGGCCGTTGGGTCACTTGGGTCGCCTCTGTAAATTCGTTGCATCCTTCCCTGCTACTGCCTGGGGCCCTCTCAGGCTCCCCCTGCCACTGTCTGTGTTCCCAGTTTCCATCTCTCTCTCTCTCCGTGACTGGTGGTCCCCAGCACTCCTCTGCATTTGCCCAGAATGGTGGCCCCAGCTTTGACTTCCAGCCGCTGTACCAGACAGCCAGCACAAGGTTTTCTGTAGGAAAGCTGCCATTGCCTGCCCTGCCCCCCTTTTCCTTTGTCCTGTTGTCGAGGTTTTTTCAAACAGCGTGGTGTTCAGTATGCAAATCAATTATTTTAAGAATTGCTTTTGTAAATATCTTTGTGAATATTTTAGTATCGTCTTTGATAATATTCAACATTTTCATGACCTGGTTATCGCCTTTGCTGGTGTTTTTAAAATACCTTGACTCAACAACAAAGACCGAGTCCTTTTTTTAAAAAAACAACAAACAAAAACAAAAAAGCCACCAGGGCTATTTGAACAGATGAAGGGGTGAAGCATGGGTGGCTGTACCGTGAGTGAGAAGACCAGGCTGTCCACCATTTAGAGGCCTCCCCAGTCAACTGGTGGGGATGAGATGACACCACGTAGTATGTCTTTGCCTGGTGACCAATAACCCCGGCAGGTCGCCACACTATGTAGGACCATCTGGGAATGTTGCGCCCCAGACTTACAGATGCCTTCCTTAGAAGTTTCTGCTTCCTGCCGTGCTACTCTCCCAGAAAGGCGTGGGGTCCCTTCTGGTTCTTAGCGGGTGTCCCCCCTCTGCTCATCAACCTATCCTCAGTTTTCTCCTGCAGAGAGCCCACCTACCCCCCACAGCCCAAGCTCCAGGCACCTCCCTCAGCCCTCTCTGGGGGAGCCATGGACTCAGCCCCAGAGGCGGGTTTCCTGGGTCCCCTCCCAAGCAAGCCTCCACCAGCAAGTTCCCCAAAGCTTTCCTGAACCGTGGTGCCTGAAGCATGCACTCTGGGGATGTAAAACATACTCTTCCAGAGTTTTGGAGCCAGGACTGGGTAAGGGAGGTATAAAGGCATCCAGGGCTGGAGTAAACTCCAACTAGTGACAGATTCAGTGAAGACAACCTCCCTAAGCAGAGGCGGTTTTGAACTCCAGGGATATGCTTCCCTGACTCTTTTGGACAACTACTTGGAGCCATAAGTCACCTCAGCAAAAAAAGAGGATTCAGCAAGCCACTCTATGACAAGCATCCACCCAGGCCACAGGCATGTTCTTGCCACCACTCCACATGATGGACAGGGTGCCGGCTGGCAGACAGGAAGGCCCAAGTACAGGCAATCACCCCCCATCTTCTTGGTTTAAGCTTTACCCGTGTATCATGTTCCCTGTAACCTTTTTTTTTTTTTAAATCTCTTAATACTTTCTCCCTCATGGAAGCCCTAACCCCACAGAGAGCTCCAGGTCTGCTCCCTCAGCCTGACCCATCCTGATAGGACAGCGTCAGCAGCGGCGACTCAAGGGACGTGTGTACATATGTAAATGAGTAATAGAGACATGTTAACAGATGCATTCATTTCCCTTGGAATGTGTATTGTTTTTATTTTATGAAACAAAACAAAACAAGAAAAAAAGGCTTGGAACTCCATCTTAACGTGGAAAAACTAGATCCTGTTTGCTAGCATTTGTGAGGTCTCTCCGCATTTGTCTCACTCATGTAATATACTCTGACCCTGTGTGGAAAGGAATTTTTGTTCTCTTTTGTTTTTATTTTACCTACATGTACTATTTAGCTTCAGTGTACTAGTCCTGCCACCTGTGTATTTTTAGGGTGCTATGGAAATAATGAAAAGAAATGGGAATTTCAGAAGAAAATTGTAACCAAATTCATACTTTGTATAATTTTTGATATCATGATCACAGGTGATTCACACGTACACACATCAGCACAGTGCGGCCTGAAGTAACTCCCACAGAAAGCATCATCGTCTTTGTACATCTCTGTACAATGCAATCATTTCATTTTAAACTGGTCAGAAAGCTAATTGTGGTTTCTAGTCTTGCAAAGCTGTATGTAGTTAGATGATGTGACAACCTCTAATATTTATCTAATAAATATGTATTCAGATGAAACCTGTATATTAGGTGTTCATGTGGTTATTTTGTATTTAAAGATCAAATTATTTGACTATTGCTAGACATTTCTATACTCTGTTGTAACACTGAGGTATCTCATTTGCCCATGTTAATTTTTTTCTAAATAAATGGACAAAAAACGAAGGTTTGGCGAATTAGCTATTTTGTGAATGCTAAGGAGTAGTTTGGGTGTTTTTTTGTTTTTTTGTTTTTTCTTTTTCAACCACCACCCCTGCTCATCTCCCTTTAAAAAAGAAAAGGAAAAAAAAACAGCAGCAAACTGCCACATGAGCTGAGTGTCGAGTAGGAAGAGCCCCTGCCCCGGTGTCCCTGGAACCTGGGGGCAGGTGAGTGTCCAGGGCCCAGCTGCTGGAGGGACTTCTGCTGGTGGGATAGAAAGGCTGGGAGAAGGGGTACCTCAACAGGACCGGGTCATGTGCGAATTGGTTGGGATCATGGCTGGGAGGGTGTGCAGTGCTGGCCTATCCCTGATTTTGAGTCCATTGTGAATTTTCTCGATATAAAGAATTGGAACCTATTCAGGTTAAGCCCCCAAAAGATGCTGTCCAAAGGAATGATGAAACGGACGTTCAGTTAAGCTCTCACAGAACCTGTAGTATTGCCTCAGTCACACTCCTTGTTGGCAGTCTCTGGACATCCCACTTCCCAGCACCCCTGTCCTGCACCCTCAGGGGACGTTGGGTTTCTCTGTGACAGCTTTATGTGGGGTTCTGGTGCTGCAGCCCTTACCCTGGTCATGGTCTTGTCTTTTTTTTTTTTTAAGATTTATTTATTTATGCACGCAAAAGCTGGGGTACAGGCCCAAGATGTGGGGGTTGAGAGGAATCACCAGAGACAGAGTGGGGGACAGAACAGGCAGGTTGACCGAAGTACACTGCTGAGAGGAGCAGCAGGCAAGTCAGGAGAGGTCTGCTGTGCCATGTGAGGTCTGCCTCACCATGTGGGTTGCTCCCTGACTGGGAATCGAACTCGTGCTGCAGAGGCTGCGGGTTGCTTCATAGTGCGGTACTTCACCCCTTGCGCCACCAGGGAGGCCCCCGTGGTCCTGTCTACAGTCTCAGCACCTGACACAAACTGCATGTATTTACTTTCTGTCTCTTGCTAAAGTTTGGGAAAGTGGATCTGACTCAGAGCCAGCAGCCAATCACCACCCCTCCTCCACTAAGCTAGAAAAAATCGTGTGGTTGCATAGCCTGCCCTCCACAGTTATTGTGGGCAAAGGCAAGTCCAAAGAAGGATATAGGAGCTGGCAGCCACCCCAAAACAGTCCTTGGAGTGTGTGTGTGGGAAAGTGTGTCAGAGTATGAAGGTCTAGGTGTAAGCAGGTGTGTGTGTGCACGCGTGTGCACATGTGTGTGCCCAGGAGTGGGCCAGGATAGAGTGTGGTTGCATCCACAAGGGAGCTACCTGTGAGTAGTTGGCCACCTGAAGTCTCCTGACTCGGCCTTTTCCAAGACAGGAAGAGAGAAGGAGAATTTACATTAAAAATGAAATCTTGGTCACTGCTAAGCTGTTCACCCAGACAGGAGGTGCTGACCCTGGGAGCACACCTCTGAGAGGAGAGGGGGCAGCACTGGTGAGAACTTCTGAAAAGGGCCCCCCCAGCAACCTACACCTTAGAGCCAGGCTTCTCAAGTGCCCCAGCACCTCCATCTGGTGGGGCGTGACCACGTTTTCATGAACTAGATGAGAATCAACCAGAAATCATTGAGTACACCCTGAAGAGTAAGGGTAGGATTGTATCGTCAAACTTCCCTTGTAGTTGAGTGTGTCTGTTGAATCCTGACATAAAATTAATTCTTACTTGTGGGTCGTGGTTAAAAACAAAAGGTTGAATGCCATTGTTTGAAAGGCAGAAATGGGCAAGGGGTGAGGAGGGAGAGGGGAATGCAGTATGCGCCCCTAACTTCATGATAAAAGGCAAACCTCCCTGGCCTCCCAGCTTGAGAGCCTGAAACCAGTGACCCAGTTAAGTACAGGTCTGTGGCTGCCTCAGAGCTGCATGGAGACCGCCGTCTCAGCCCACCAACTCCTCCGCCTTCTGTGGTCCTACAATGAGAACAGTTCTAGGGATGAGAAGAGTCCACAGGAAAAGCCCAGCAGAGTGCCCAGCTCAGGGCAGCTTGGAGCTTAGCACCCCTCTGGGCTCCCCTGCTGCCCTTCCCTCCCACACCTGGAACCACACATCACATCCTTCAGCACCTGGGTCATCTTGGGTTTCTGTTCTTCCCAACCCACCCCGAAAAGGCCCCAGCCTGTGTCCCATGACTGTCTTTCCATGTAAGGCCGCAGAGTGTCCGTGAGGGAAGACACTGTACAGGGGGCTCCAGCCTCCAGAGGCCTCTGGGCCTGGTCTCCCAGCCCCTCCCCCCAGCTCCCTCCTCTGCTCAACCGTGCCTGCCTCTCACTAAGCAGACTACCCAACCACTACATGGAGCCCTGCTCACTACCCTCATGTCCCCCAAACCCACCCACAAACTGATCTCTGTCCTCCCCAGGCTTATCGTCTTCCGCCCAGGCCCAGAGGATGTGGTGTTCCTTTTCCAGTCAGGGCCAGCCCCTCCCCCAGCCCCCGACACCATCACCTCCTCTTCTGGGAGAGACTTCAGCCTCTTTTTTTAGGGTGGTTGTTTTTTTTTTTTTTTTTAGGTTGAACGAATAGTTTTATTTACTTATTTTTTAATACATACACATATTTTATTGGAAAAACAGTATTGGCTGGTTTGAAAACAACTAAATCCAGAAATTTATAAAAGTGAAATCCTCCCCCAGCCCCACTCCCACCCCCTATCTCACTCACAGGAAGAATGAACATTTTAGTTTGGCACCTTTTTCTGAACCCAAATGTGTTTTGTGTCTGTGTCAACACGAAATTAGATGCATGTATTTTTTTTAAAGATTTATTTATTTATGCATACAAGAGCTGGAGTACAGGCCAGAAGTGGGGGGGTTGAGAGGATTCACCAAAGACACAGCGGGGAACAGAACAGTCAGACTGACTGAAATACACTGCTGAGGGGAGCAGTGGGCAAGTCAGGAGAGGTCTGCTGCGCCATGTGGGTAGCTCCCTGACCGCCGGGGGATCGAACTCGTGCTGCAGAGGCTGTGGATAGCTTCATAGTGCGGTGCTTAACCCCTTGCACCACGAGGGAGGCCCCAGATGCATGTATTTTTCAGCCTTTTTCCTGTGTCCTCCCCTCTCCTTCTCTTGGGCCTGGAACACCCCCACCCTTTGTGCTCAGCCTCCTGCTCCTCCTCAGACTTCTCTGTCAGTCAAGTAAATTGCCCACTTTCACTGATCACCAATCATCATCAACGCCCTGCAGTCCGCATCTCTGAAGTTCTCTGCAACTTCTCTTGTAAGCTCCCTGGTGACCTCTTGTTTGCTGATGTCTATGCTACCTTTGGAGATGGAGCCTCACAGCTACATTTGGGAGTTGCCATTTCTCCCTTTAAACTCCTCTTGGATTCCATGACACGCCCCTCTTTGGTGTTTTCAGTCCTCCTTGAATCCCTTTGATGGTGTGGTGCTTCTTTGTCTCCTTTACAGGCTCCTGAACTAACATTAGTTACCATGTTAACTCTCCTTTACCACCTGGCACCCATCCCTCCACTGCTAAGGGTATTGGCTACCAGCAGCTCACAACTTCCCTTCACCAGAGAATTGCACTTAGGAGACAGGGACCACCTTATCTGGGAGTCTATACACACATACACACACACATAAACACACACACACCCACCATGACAGGAAGCTTACAGCCAATGACTGGGTGCTAAAGGGAATTTAAAGACAGCCTCTCCTGCAGTGTGGTTTGTGTCCTGGAGTCTTCCCTGTGGAAGGACTAGACTATAGGAGGCCATATGCTGGCTTAGCTCTCCTTTTCCTCTTCTGCTTTCCTCTCTCCCTTACACATTTCTCCAAGAGCACTCTCAGTAAATCGTGGAATCTTAATGCCTGTCTCAGGTTCTGCTCCTACATGCTAAGACAGCAGGTGCCTCTGGGGACAGGACATTGGAGGCTGATCACTGACCAAATGGGAATGAGGCCCCACCACTGTGGATAGGCCTAAGGTTGGGCGTGGTCACACATCTGGTATGACTTCCACTTTCAGTGAACTGGAATGGCATGTAGGGGTGGGCACTGTGCCAGTCAATGCAATGTCTCTGGCCTTTGGGACGTAGGAGGAAAAAATAACTATTAAAACTATGGAACTGAGTGGTGATTGCTCAGTGTCACCGATTCATTGAAGAAAGGAAATTATAGTCTCAGATCTCTTTATTGGCAATTTAAAACAAAATGGGAGAGTCAGAGGAAACCTCTTGGCAGGAAGCATTGAAACACTTATCTTCACAGCTGGAGAGCAGACAGAGTGAAGAGCAGGTGAGGACTTCATCGTGGTGGTGGCAGAGCTTGGGGTAGAGCTGAATTCTCCATTCAGGCGGGACTTTATACCAAAATCAGGCCCCTAGGGGGATGGAGTGGAATCCTAAGACCCAATAGTCCCACCAAGTCCTCCCCCTTGGGAAACATCTATCACCGCATGGAGGGTTTATTATAACTGGTCAACAGAAAAGGAAAATTCCTGAGCTTGATTCACAGATGAGACAACCTAGCATGTGGCTGCAAACCACAAAGTGCACTGAGCCTGAGGCAAAAGGTCAAGAGACTGAAAAACTGGGTGAGAGGGGATCCTTCCAATAGGCAGAAGACTGGTCAGGACACCTGGTCATGTACTGGAGAAAGAAGTGACAAACAAAAGTCATACACATATGTGTGGGCAATGGAAAATAGCCTATTAGTTGGTCAGAGGCCTAGAAAGAGCAAGACTGAATGATGGGGGGACAGGGGTGATGCTGGGGAAAGAGACATGTAGTAGATCGTTGGAGTGGGCAAAAGCAGGACATCCATGCACCACATTTAACACACCCTATGACCATAATAATCAAGTGCTGATGACTTGGCTCCCTAAATATCTCTT